GGTGAGGCCGGAAAAGCTGGTGCTCCAGGCCAACAGGGACCTCAAGGACCTGCAGGGAAAGATGGCTCGCCAGGTCAACCCGGTCCTCCCGGCACTCCTGGCCAACACGGTGATCATGGAAAGGACGCTGCTTACTGTCCTTGTCCTCCTAGGACTCTGTATCCTGAACCGCAGACTGACGCTCCAGTCTACAATGAGGAGTCGGAAGAAGGTTATCGGAAGCGTCATTGATGTCTTTAGTGCTGTAATAAAACTTCACTTATTTGCACTTCTTATGTGAACGAACTTGCATGTCCAAGACAGAAGGTTGCAGCGTATCCATAACGAGAGGTCCACCTTGACGGCGCTTGTTCAACCTAAACCTAGGAAAATGTGCAAGAGTACGATCGTGATTGATAAACCAAATTTAGGATTGAAATTCATCACGTCATGGATCGTTGAGAGTTGGCGATCGTATATATGCGATTAGGCGATTAGGTGAAAAGTCTACAGTGAAAAATATAGGCATAGATCAGGCGGTTCGGCGAAAAGGAGAGTACGCGACGGACGGGAAGTCTGCATGCGTATTACGCCTACTCGCCTACTCGCACTCGCCTAAGCGCACGTACCATCGCCAACTATGGACGCTTTATTAAAGGAGGAATTCACGATTAGAATGAAGGTCGAAGAAAGGGAAACTGACCTAGTTGAGGGACCCACGGACCTCCTGAGGGTGCGAACTGACGCGCAATTCGCATGGAAAAATTTGACCTCGGCGACCTATCATGCCTCAAAGCTGGCGGGTCCGGCGATCTCCGCCCACCGATCATCTGATCACTCGCCGTAGTTCAATACGTGGCGAGTGATTAGATAGCTGAGAGAGCGTAGTGTTGAAGAGGGCACAGCGATGAGAGTCGCATCAATGCTCAAATCAACGGGCAAGGAAGGGGTCCCATTTCTCGGGTTCTGGGCCGTTTCTCATGGTTTCTTCCTTCTTTCGTGTACCACTCACCATCCCTAGGTTAATTTGAAATGGGTTGCTTTTTCATCGTGAATTCGTCCTTTTCAACAAAAAATGTTAATGCACCTAAATACTGCAGTTAGATAGTCTAATGATATCAAACTAACTTTAGTACAATTGAGCATGTTATGCCACCATTATGTTTCAGAGTCGTCATTGCGGACTTACTTGGGTTCGAGGTTCAAAGTGTACGAATAGTAAAACGAACCGTAGCCAGCTGTTGCCACTTCGAGTTCTCGTCCATCAGCTTAGAAAGTCTCAATCGTGTCAAGTAGTCGAGGCAGGAAATATCATCTGAAATTATTCTAGCCCTAATTAACTCTCCTTTTGGATAGATGCATTCAACAGAACCGACGTACCTTGAGACATTTTACTATGCCGGGCGCTTCTTCGAGATCTATTTGCTGAGCTTGTGGACGGCTGATCATCCACATACTCGCCGTCGGAATCCAGACCAACGTCGCCTGACGCCCCTTCCTCTCGATCTGTGAATATGAGCATAATTTTCTTGAAATAACAGCGGCAAATTTTCCAAAACCGCATCATTCAAAGGAAGATACTATACTGACCATATGAAGTCTGTGATGTTAGATGCTCGCTTGGCGGCTGCGCCCTGGATGGAACGGATGACCGGTGTGGAGGCGGAGTGTCCACGTCAGGAGGTGCAGTCATACTTCCGTGAAGATTTGGTAGCGACCGGCCAAAGAGCGCCGAACGAGTTGTTGTCAGATCAGACGGTACTGGTGGAGGTACTTCTTTCTCCGGCAACTCAACTCTGAAAGTTTTGATGTCATTGACGCCAACGCAAGCATTACCGTTTTTCAGGCTCTTGGAACGGTGATGTATGTAACGTAATTATTGCCGAAAAAACTTCTGACTCATGACTTTTTTCTGGACTGACAGCTGTCGGAATAGCAGTTTATCCCAATGAATTCAAAAGCCGTCCCAGTGGTTAGTGGTTTTTCTTTTATCGCCAAAGGACATGCGAATAAGTGCGGATGAGTCATTTTGGATGAGAAAGATGCAGGGAAGAAGGCATACTATAAAGTGGTTATTCTCAGCGAAAAAACATCG